AAGCATGTCCTCACTGTTTCCTGTATTATACCACAACAGTATTCCCAGCACTTGCATTTGAACAAGTCTGGAAATGTTTTGCACACGAATAGACAGAGACAGACACACGCACACAGAACTCTTTGGCTGCCATGCCGTGGGGCTTGTTATTTGTCTCTGTCTTGTCTTGCATGTGCACTTGATGTTTGTCTCCTTGATAAAATGCAATTTTCGGGCCATTTTGTTTATCCTTTCCTTTTTTATTGGAGCAGGCAAAAGTCAAATATGCTGGCGTTGAAAAATAGCAGCACTTGGGAATGAAATTCTTCAGCAATATGGCCGACAATAATATGTAAATCAGGCAGCCCAGCCATTTGTCTGGTTGTTGTACTACTCTGCATAAAGTACGTGCCAAGCCAAAAACCTCATAACTCAGCCATTTGCCAAGTGTCAATAGACGACAAGTGCAATTTTCTCTTTTATTTCGTGTATGTGTTTGTAGCCTATCAGCGAGCATATGCCAACACAATATTCCAGGCTATGTTGATAACTTTTGCGTTTTGTTTATCTTTTCTCATTTCAAAAGAAAAATTAAGCTGAATGCACAAGAAATCAGGGAAAACAAAATGAAGTAAAAGTGCGTGCAGTACTTCAATGGTGAACTCATCTGTCTGAACCGTGTTCAATTTTTGGTAAAAATAACAAGGAAAATGTTCTTATTTTTATTTGTATTTTGACAATAGCTGGCTCCTTAGCTCAGACACTCACCACTTGATTCTTTATAATCTTTTACGGGCTGTCTGCCGCATCTTTTGTCTATTTGCTGTCGATTGTTGATGTTGCCATTGGCTTTGTTGTTCGCCACCAGTGCAACGCCTTTCCCCGTCTGGTATCTGTTCGGTTTTATGCTGGTCAAGTAAACAAAGCACTTGAGCTTAAATACCCAAGTACGCCCTTTGCTAGGCAATGGTTTACTGCACTTTGTTTAATTTGCCGTTTGGGTTATCAACTGAATGAATGTGGCTTATAAGAACTGGCTGCTGGCAACTGGTTACTATATTTATGATATTATTACTATATCGCTTTAGCTAATAAACTAAGATACAATCCTAGAGTCTATAGAGTCCTTGGTTTCCATTTGAGCTGCTTTCTGCACCGCAGGGCACAAAATCGATACATAATTTAGCTAGCAAAATTCACCCCTTAATTCCTTAGCTATCCTAATTCCATTTAATACTTGAACTAATCCGAGCAGCAGGAGCAGCATTTTGTATTTCATTTTATATTCTTCAGAAAATTTCATGATTTACCCAAACGTAAGCCCCAAGCCCTAATAGCCATAATTGCAGCTGTGTATTATCTATCTACCTTCCCCAAATAGTATCATGTATAATTACAGTCAGCTGCTCGCACACTTATCTTGCTGGCAATGTGCATTTAATTGAATTTAATGCCAGCGCTCAACGCATTTGCCGCTGCTTTTGCATTTTGACGTAATTTACACACTAACAAAATGCTTCGAAAATATTATTTAAATGAAATGATCATTATTTATGTATGCAATTTGCTATACTCATCTTTCGCATAGACTGACAGATTGTTTCATGGGCACTCGCTGGTGCCACACTCTGCGTATGCGTAATATTCGCCCAGATTTATGCAACAGTAACGCATTTGCAAGTAGGGTGGCAAAAAAAGGGTGTGAAGGGAACGGAGGGTATGGGAAATACATCCGCGTTTGCTGTACAAAATATATAATATGGATACGCCATCACTCATGCATATCTACTTGGAGAAGGCATCCGCTGATGTTGGGACGTGATGAGCACAGGACGTGGCTGGCGTTGACCTTGCAGTTGGTATTGCACAAAATAAAATGCATACGTAAGATATTTTGTTTGTTCCGTTTGGTTGTTGTTGTTGTTGTTGCCAACGCATATGTTGCTCAGCTCCTTTTGGTTATACGCCGAACTCTCTCTACCGCTTTATGCCCTTCCGCAACTGATTTATTTAAAGTGCTTTGCCGCCAACTGGGCCTCAACTGGCGCATAAGCATGGGCAAATGAAATATTGATCCATTTTGGGGTCTGTCCGGGTATGCAAAAATGTCTTACAACTTAGTTATTCCCGGGTGGGGCGTGTCACGTGGTCCATAAGACGGTGATTGGGCTACAAGTTTGTCAACCGCACAACCCATATAAATTCTGCGGTTAGCCCTCTTGAGCTCGATATTGTTATGGGCTTGGGTATTGAAATCTTTTAGCTTGGCTCGTAAGTTTTTCATTGAAAAATTGTTGGCAATTTCAAGAGTCATTTGAATTTATTTCAAGGGCCGGCTAGACAAACACTTTACGTGGCTCATTTGAGAGCGAAAAAAGGTCCTAATGTAAGCTAAGCCCATAGTCATTTATTTTGACAGTAACCATTTGGATTATCACTTGCTGACACACCTTCGGAGCGCAGTTGTTTCCTACGCCCACATGGCGTATGCACAATGCTCTTGGGAAGCGCAAAGTTGTTCCAAGTCTTGTATTTTACAAGCTGCAAAATGTAACACTTCCCGTTGAAAAGTTGGCAAATTTATGATGCGCGTTACAATAATGCGACACATGTGGCGTATACGCAACTTTTTTATAGCTTATCTGTTAGGCAAGAAAGCATATTAAAGGTTTTTATGCTTGCACAAATTTCCACGCCAGCATTTTGTTCATCCAGTAGTGCATCAATTAAAATATGAAAAATCGAACTTTTCATGCAACAAAATTAAATTATATATAGCTCGCTTTAATAGTCTTCTTGGCTTGGCAAATAATATTCAGCTGTTGAACGCCTCAGGCAATTTATTCAAATGATATCAGAGAACGAAGCGAAGCCATTGCCAGAACTTGGTCCAAGCCAAAAAAGCCACAGACAGTCGCAGCTCGGCAACGGTGGAGCAGCCCAACTTGAAGCCAGAATGAGACAAAGACTGATATCATTCGTTTCGGCTTTGGGATCAAACCACAATGGCCAATTACCGTCTCATGGGCAGTTGCAAAACCTAATTAACTCAACTTGTGCGATATTTCTTATGAATTTGACCAGCGCTCAAAGTTTGATGCGTTTCATTTAATCCACTAGAAGAGAGTCGGAGTCAAAGTCACGACTCAACGATTACATAGGCTATTGACATTTGACTTTCGAGCGACTGTGACGAGTATGACAGACAAATAAGTGGACATTAAAGAGCTAAATTTATGGCCACATTCATTGGCGGGCAATGCTATACCCTGTCAACGAATGCATAAGACGCGTATCTTAATACTCTGAAAATCTTTGTTACAAGAAAGTCTGCTTAAGACATAGAGACTTCTGGACTTAATAAATAAATTAATCAAGTAATATTAGCTTAGTTCAATTTGGATATAACTAATTTAAATAATAAATAATAGATCATTTGTAATATGTCAATTTTATAAATTAAATTTTAATGGGTTTGGGCTAGTTAACAGATGAACACTTTCAATAGGGTATCTTCCAGTCAAGCATCACCCAAAAAAACATTCTTAATAGGTGCACTTATTTGTGGTCTAATGCCGGCGCCAGAAAAATTGCTCTTAAATAAATGTGTCAACAAAGCCAATTAAAACTAACGACATTGTTTTTGTAAATTCTGACGCCTGCGAACATATATGCATATAGAAGAAATACTAACAATATACGATATAAAATACCAAAAATATGCCGCACTGAGACGCTTTTAGTAAGTGTTAGCAGCTGTTGCATTTGCTTTTGCGAATTTCACAGCACTTAAATTGAAATGTTTATTGTGGCTTTTATTGACAGAAGTTTGGTTTGTTTGCATAAATAAAGCCGCCATGGCTGTGAAAAGGAAAGGCTTGCACCACGTTAAGTCAACTTACGAAGGGCAATTTCCTTCTGGGAAATTAGAAAACTTTGCGCTATCTTCTCAATATTTTGGCAAACAAACCTTTCGAGCATTGTTTGCGCTCGTCCTTTTCATTTGTTGCTTCCTCTCTAGCTTTTGTAATACAAATTTTTTGGACCCGCTTTTACTTTGTGGCCATAAAAAAAAAAACACAGCAGAAAGTCGCAAACGGCAGAGAGATAGTATCTGGTATAAGCATAAAAATATCAGGTTTAGGGCTTAAGGTTTGCGCAGGTTTCTAGTTTATGTTTGTTGTCCTTTAGATTTTTCAGTCTGCCGTTTTCCTTTTTGCTGCTAAAACACGCGTTTTATGCGAACTTCTCTTTTAGCTGAATTTAAATGGGAAAAAAATGATTTTTATGTTTTCCAAGCAGCTGTACAAATGATTTGATTCGCTTTTATTGTTTATTTGCTGCGCGCCGGCTATTGACAATAAAGACTATATTTTATGATAAAACACATAAATTTCATTTACACTTTGCCGGGGAAAACTACACCCCAGTTGATAGTTGTGCGTGCTGGGTCGTTGTCGGTACTTCGATTGCACTTTTGTGGCCACATCGATCATAAAGAAAAACCAAGCATATACTTATGTGTCTGCGTTATAATAATGGCCATGAGTGTAGCGCGTAGCGTCAAGATAAGAATAGATAGGTAAGAATATGTGGTGTGGGAGACTTTATGGCATGGGCCATGTTTTAGGATAAGTATAAGCATGGGAAAACATGAAAGCTAACATTGGGTAGAGCTCTACACCACAGGCATAAGCAAATGTGAGCTATAAGCTGCAGCTCAAAGTTAATTAGCCTAGTCAGTTGGTAGCCTGTATGCGTCTAGAGAAAGCTCTAATACATGCTAGATTAGTTTCTTTAATTGAACTTAAATTTTACAGACACTGCTCGAGTATTGATTAATTAATTCTATCCTAGCCTATTAAAAACATAAGCCCAGTTAAATTAAAATATTTATCAACTGGGCCATTGACCGACTACATGGCGTATACTCAATGGATTTGGTAAGCCACTAATCCTCGGGCAAAAGAGCTTTGTGAACTTGGCGAAAAGTTTTTGAGAGCTGCTTAAACAGAACTCACCTCATCAAAATCCGCAAACTGAAGCACGCCTTAGTTGCAGCTGTCTGCGGCGCTTACACGATTTCAATTAAAGTCAAGACGCGGGCTGCATTTATCATCTTTGTTTGAACAACAAAAATCACATCAATTTTATGTCAGCTGCAGGCGAGCGCAACAATATTCCAAGATTTTTCAATTTATATGCCTTATATTTTTTTTACAATCAATTTTTGTGCTGTATATTTTCTGTTTTGAAAACTTTTGGCCACACACAAAACACGCAGCGCAGCGCGAAGCGAGAACCGAAACAGAGACAGCTACTTGATATCCAGATGCAGACCCGTGGCGTTGCCGAGACACGTGCGTGCGGCGCCGCAATGGAAAGCCAACTGAAAAGCTGAAGAAAACTGTGACCAGCTGTTGGCTACGCTGACAGCAACATGGAGCTGTTTCCTGCGCGCCTGACGAACGTGTAGCCAATGCGGTGGCAGCGGCAGCAGCGGCAGCAGCACCCCGAACAGCTGTTCCCGCAGTAAACGAGCCCTGCGTTCCACAAGGCGCAACTGGTGTACTGCACATGGCATCCACATGGCATCCACTGGAACAGCTGGCACCATAATACTTGTTGACTCTGCAGCGCTGCAAAGCTTTCGCTCTTTCACTCTCTCAAGCTTGCAGCCCTTTTGCTTTTGCCTGTCTTTGCTGTGTGGACTGCAAGTAACGCTTGTTTTTATGAATGAATACCCCACACTTGAGTTCTTGCTTTGCATTCCACACTTGCTCTTGTCTTTGGGCTCACCAAATGTTTCATACCTGCTGTGATTTTGCTTTATTTATTTATGGCAAAAGTTTCCGTCAGACATTGCAACAATACTAACCAGCCGTCAAATTCTGCCCGCAGCCAAATAGGAGCCACCCACAGTTCCACAGGTCCTATCCATCTGTTATAAATCATCAAATAGTATGATTTAGTGCACACACTTTTTACACACAGCATAACAGGAACAACAGCAGCAAGCGGCAAAAAAAAAAACATACAGTTTTAATACACTTGAAAATTCCATGTTGAAATATGTTTAAACCCTTTTTGAGCGGTCATAAACCGTTTGGTTATCTGCGTGTTGTTCTCTCTGTGTTTTTTTTTATTTTTGTACTATTTTGCACATTTTTCAGGCGCTTTATTTTTAGATTTATGTTTAGCCACACAGGCTCACACAGGCATGTGCATAAATGTTTATACAGTGGATTATATTATTTGTCATATATATGTGTACGTGTGTGTGTGTGTATATATATCAATTTAGATTCTTTTGTTTGAGTTGTGTTTCGGGTTTCACGTGTTCACTTTTGTGTTTTTTTAAATGCATGTTGATTAACTAAGTCGTTGATGCTATATTTTATTTATAGAAGATTTATGGCCGTAGTTATTATTTATACTACTATTCGAATTGAAATAAGAATGAAAAATATTTGATTATTTTTGCCAACATTTTTAGAATATTAAATGGAAATGGTTTAAGCCAGCTTAAATGACGAAAGGCGCCATGTCAACTAAGTAAAGAATATATGCAGCATTAAATTTCAGCTATTAAAAATGATTGCAAAATCATTATAATCATTTCTTTTTTATTTTTAGGAGCAAAAAGCAAAAAGCTGCACTCTACAAAAAATGTCCAAGTGAATTGAAAGGATTATCGCGCTGGGCTCCGTTCCCAAAATGGTTTCTGGTTTTTGCGGTTAAGCGAACAGTTGCCATGGCAGCTGCCGTTGGCTGTTTTGGGTATGGAGGTGGGCATTGGCTTGGGTATGGACATGGGAATATGGCGCTGTCAAGTCAGCATTTCCTGTTTACCATGGCGGGCACTTGGCTTACCCCCGCCTCACTGACTCACACATACACATACATACACACACCCACACATACGCACTGTAAGCCCCCAGTGAAGTCGTCGTATGGATGCCAACGGATATAGTGCTTCAGTTAAGACCTTGGTACGCTCTAATGCAAAGCAGCTGAATTGGATTTGGAATTGGGTGGCGTCGAAATGGCTGGAACATTTAGCTAGCGGCAGTACAAAATGGTTGTCAAATAACTTCCGGCTAACGGTCTCTCTTTAATTTTGTAGAGGGTCACGTGCAAAATTGAGGCACTGAAAATCAACGCTATCCTTTCTATGTGCTAACCCCTGGCTGTCAGCGAACGCATTTTCAAATGTCTCGCTTGTCATTTAGCGTCGCCGATTTTATTGTGTCCTGGAGCTGTTTAGGTAAAGCACGAAACTGCTGAATGCTCGACGCAAATCGATGCAATTGAAAAATAATTGAACATTTGAAATGTTTATTGAATGTCAGCTCAGCTAAGTTGTAATGTGTGAGTAATGCTGCCTCCCCGGGGCTGTTATTCCTTGGCTGCCTTTGCATATCTAATGGATCCCTACTGTGGCAAACCGTACTCCTTGTCTCCCAAACTTTGCTATGGCATTTGATTTCACGAATTCCTCATGCCACGCACGTCTGCCTTGTGGAAAAGAAAGAAAAGTTATTGATTGGATTTTTAGCAGTTTCTGCTTTAACCACAGTTAGGCTCATAATCGAGGTCCTGATATGTGGACATGGTATGTGGCAGATGTGTAACATATAATATGACATACCACTTTTCTGCTGAATGGCAGAAACAGTCGCGTAATTGATTTTAAGCTAATTCCGGCATTCAAGCAGGTCTATTAAAATCCTTTGTAAATACTTCTACACCCTTCAGCTAAAGGGATCTGCATGCAAAATATCCTCTTGGTCAACTCAATCAGTTGAATAAAAATAAGTACATAAGCATTTGAATAAAGCAGCCGTTTCGAATGGAATGTCAATTTCATGTGGTTTACTGCCAGCTTTGATGTTAGATGGAGCTTTGCAACCTTCAAATGCAAACTATATTATGGCCGGGCCCATAACATGTTGACACAACTGACATAGCAGAGAAAGCTAAAATGACAGGAAAAACTAAAAAACTAAAACGGAAGACAGGAAGCAACTTAAAAGTATGAAAATTCACCTGCAACAAACTGAGCAAGTTTTCATAGTTTGTCATATGTGTAAAGTAACAAAAGACAGACACGAGGCAGGGCAAGTGAAGGAGATATCTTTGCAGTGGTAAAGAGATACATAAAAGTTGTTGTTGTCTTTTAGTTTTTATATTTTTTTTAAGCGTATGCTCAAAGTACAGAAAAATAACATTTTTATAAAGAATTTTTGACTGCTTCATTTTGCAGTTTATTGTCTTTCTGCATCATTTAATATGTTTGTCAAAGAATGCATAAATCTGGGCAAAGGAAACTTAAAGGCAACGTACTGCGAGATATGGTCATTAAAATGTGACTAATGCTCTTAAAAAAACTATACTGTTGTGTATAATCAAATTAAATTGAAGCGAAAGACTAATTAAGATACATTACGGTTACTTACACTGGTAAAAATTAGTTTATATATATTTAAACTTACATTTATATATGTCCGAGCATTCACATACTTACATGAATTCGTACAAAACGCATAGAAAAGCGAAATTATGTGAAAATTCCTAAGAGTGAAATGGAAGACGAGGATGAGAGCTTCTTAGCCACTAACGTTGACTTCAGAGCGAGAGAGAGAAAAAAAAGAGAAAGAGTCTTAGCTAAAGAAAAATTCCAGACTTGCCTAAGCTTATAAGACGAATTATACATCATAAACAATCATTATTTATCATTGTTCTTCCACTCGAACACATCTTTGAACTTCTTAAATACTTACTCATATCTTAGTAGCAAAAGCATATATTTGTTTTTATATTTTTATGCCTGGCTTCCTTTTTACTTATTCTGTATTTGGTTTTTCACTGGAATTGGCCCAAAAAATGCGCTTTGTAAATCAAGCGCAGAGAGACGTGCTTATCGCTTGCTTTGCCGTCTGCTGATATTGTCAGCTGCTCCAAATCCCAAGCAGGAAAGCTGAAAAGTGTACTTTTTCGGGCATTTTTTTTTTGGGAGTTTTGTGCGGTTAGCGCATAGGGGCAATAGCCGAAAAACAAAATTTATTATCGTTAATATATGCGTTCCTGTAGCTGACACATTTACGACACATATGTGACCTGTTTTCATTGCATTGCCGTGGGCTCTAGCACGTTTATTGTTGCCTATTTGGCGGCGTGAAGCCTTTGAGCTGGCAAAGTTTCAATTACAATCACACACACACACATTCACACATTTACACACCCACGCAGGGTGGCTAAAAATATAGGCAATTTGTTAAATGATCTCATCAATTCATTTCAATTCCGCAGCCATAGAAGCGCCCGCAATCATCAGACCAGGGCAAAGGTCAACACAGAAGCCAAACGTGCCGCAATGCAGCTGATTAATTGATTTATTATTGAAAAATGCTCAACGCCTGCCGCCTGGTGCGTTGGAAACTCCCTGAGAGGCGGCAAGCGTCATACGAAGCCGCCGCAGACGAAGTCCAGAAGTCTTGCAATTTATCACGGAATTCCCCAATAAGCGCGCGTTAAAGTTGAGCCAAGCACTCGCGAATCTCTGGCGCAATTAATTCGCCAACTGCACGGCTAATGAGTGCGCCGCGGGCCGAGCAAATGAAGCAGCCGTTGAAATATACTGTAATCAAGGCAAGTATTAAGAGCCTTGAAAATTTATTGTCATTGGAACTGCCAGCTCATAATGTGGAGCATTCAGTTATGTTAATTAGCTGGTTGGATAAGATACCAAAGAGTCTCAGCCAGTAATAGATTGAGCAAGTAAATATCAGACTTCTTTTAATGGAAGATTTCAGATATTAATAAAGTACAAGTGCTTAAGATATATGTACTACATATGGGGTTCACAATTGATTTAGTTGATTTAGTTTTAATCAAGGCTTTGCCCAAAACTCCGAACTTCGGCTGTCAACAAATACTAGAAAAGAGCTAAGCCCAAATAATATTTTATTCTTTATAAAAAACTGTTGAGCCAGCCACTGCGCCAAGCTATAAATAAGTTTGGCCCAAATATTGCATTTATGTAACCATATTTGGTAGTTGACAATTTTGGATAAAACTCAAATGTAGCCCGCATTCTTGTAAATGAAAATATGCACGGCTTGCGATATTTTCAGTACAGCGGGCAATTGCAGATTGGAACTTGAATTTTTACCATTAAGAGTATAAAAACATAAAAAATATATGTCAGGTTTAAATTAAAGTCTGTGCTTTAAATGTGGAAAACTCGCATTGCGGGCCGAACCTAAATGGTTGAATTGAATCCAACAAAAGGTCAAATATAATAAAAATATTAGTAATAATTATAATAATAATTAAATAATTAATTATAATATTTTTTTCATATAAAATATAAAATAACAGTCTCTCTTAAAGCTGCTTTCATTGTGGCACAAAGTTTAATGACCCCTAAAGAATTACCTAAAGCTGCAATTTATGTCTATGTAATCACATAAAAATAAGTTGAATGTACGCATTGAATGACGACAATCGAGTGCGGGTTGAATAAACTCGTCTTCTATGAAATCAACTAAAAAAGAGATAAAAAGGATAAAGATATCCTTAATGCGAGAGTTGAGTGCACAGCCAACCAATTGCTGCCCCACAGTGCTTAGACGAAGGGCCAGAGACTGCCAATTCAAATGTACAGCAGCAGAACTGTTTATTGCTTATCTAAGTTAACAACAACAACAAAAAAGGAACTTACTAAAACTAGCAAGCTTATGTACAGAATGCAAATCCATTTTAAGAGCCAACTATGGACTCTTGACGATTTTTCAGTTATTGCTGCGACTGCAATTTCAGAAGCTTTGTCACAAAGCCAGCGCAGTTGCAACAACAACAGTTGTGTATGTGTTTGAGCGTGTACTGGTATGTGTGTAGTAGTGTCTAGTATGTGTGTGTGTACGTGTCTAGTGTGTGTGTGTGTGTCTGTGTGTGTGTGTGTGTCTGTGTGTGTGTGTCGTGTTGTGCCTACCAACAGCCCTGCATATGGTTGAGCTGCTGTATGGCCCCGCATCCGATACGATTTTGCATATAATCCGGAAAATTGCTCTGCAGCACTCGCATCGTATTCCGTTTGTAATCGGGCACCGCATGGGTAACCAGCTGGCATGTCTGGCTGCGATAGACGGGCTTGAAGTTGGCCTCCGCGAACGTGGAGTTGGTGTCCCAGCGATAGACCTCCGCGTCGCCCTCATTGCGGAAGAATATGGCCGAGCCATTGTCCGTGCCAATGATGACCATGCGACTCGGTTTTTTGCCCAGATCTGCAACACACAACCACAGATTTGTCTAATTAAGAACTACTTCCGGTGAATAGCAGCTGTAGGAACTTACCCAAAATGCGTCCATCGGCCACACCGCTGCGCAGGTATTCGGATTTCAGGGAGAAGAGTTTGCTGGTGCTCAAATAGGTGAAATACAGCTCTGTGGAGCCGCAGTCGCGGCGTATAAGCGCTATATAGAGCACATCCCGAGAACGACACCCCGCGGATACGGCCTTGGGCAGCACCACACGAAAGCCTCGATCCGCTTGCAGATTGTAAACGATTATTGCACGATTGGCCGCATCACTGACATAGATGAAGCAGCCGCCATCGGGCGCGTAATCCACCACCAGATACTGCAGTCGGGAGGTGCTTGAGGTGAGGCCCTCCAGCGAGACTGTTTTCAGAACTTTGCCGGTCTTTACGGACATGGCCACCACTTTGGGCGCACATTTGCGAACCGGCGTCTCCAAGGTGTTGACAATGCCCGTGTCCAGAACCCAGAGCACCTCATTTTGATCCACCACCAGATCGACCACGGACTGCAGCGCCTTGCAGTTGCCCTCCTCCTGCAGATCCCAGCAGGGATATGGCTTGAAGGTCGTGGAGCAGGTGCCCGGCAGCACATTGGTCTTCACCAACGTCGCCGGCACACCCTTGCGATAACGCGGCAGCGCCAAGTAGATGGTGTCCCCAATCAGCTGGGCACGCGTGGCAATCACATTCTTGGCTATGTACTTGCCGGAGCTCTTGAATAAAGACTTGGTGCTGGCACAGGGAAACTCGAACTGCCCGCCCGTCCATTGTATGGGCTGTGTATCGGAGTGTGCGCGATCCGGCGTCCACAGTCCGTACTTGGTGCCCTGACCAAATGCGATGCGTGGTGCAATACAAATGGCCAGGAGCAGCCCCAGCCAGTGGGCAAAAAAGAAGCGCATCTCTATGCTTGAGTATTTGGGCGTATGTGGCTGACAATATATATTGACTGAACACCAAGTTAACCGAGTCTAGCGTCTTATATAAGCCATAGAAGCGACCAGAAATGCACGACGTGCTGCAAGCCAATTTCTCAGATTGCAAACAACTTTTTCGTAGTGGAAGAACCTTGACGGCCTGACTGAAGAAAAAAGCCAAAAACAAACTGTTCAAAAGTTGACTGTTTAGTTGTGTGCGTGTGTGTGTATGTGTGTTTGTGTGTGTCCAATTGCATTAAAAATAATTGAAATAGTTCACGCGCAGAAGCCACAGTAAAGCAATCAAAATTAAGCACTAGACGACATATGTGCATATATTTTTATGAGAGAATATATATGCAGCTCATGCTGCGACTAATGAATATAATCACTCACCCATACACACACCCTCACACACACTCACACACTCTCACACACACAAATGCACAGCTGGAAGCTTGGGCCAAGCCAGCTAAGTGCGTTCTTATTGCAAGCGCCAATCTACGGGATAATTTGAGCTAATTTTCAATATGCACTACAAATTAATTTGCCTTTGGGTAATTTTCCACAGCGAAAATGCGTTTAATTGGCATATTAGTGAAATTGTGCTTGAAATATGGCCAAGATATAATTTAAATGGCTTCTCATAACTCAATCCATATATGCATCAGCGCTCAGCTGCAATATTATTAATAGAGTTAACTTATCATGTGATTGCTTTAACTACATCAAATCCTAACACAGGCAGCACATCTGCTACTTTCCCAAAGAGGGGCATAAGAAGACGAAAAAGAAGAAAGGAAAATAGCTTTCAAGCAGCTCAACAGACAACGCCCGAAGTGTTTGCAACATCGCGACATGTTTGGCATGCCAAAATGTCAGGGTACGCCCGCATATGTACTGCCAGTAAATCCCTCCCCCTATGCTGTCGTGATTTATTTGCTCACTTTTCCCCCACTCACCACACACATTCCTCACCTTGGTAGTATGGGAAAAAAATATTGATGACAAGCACTTCCGGGCTGCCTGCCCGTCTTGCCCCACATAATTTATGCAAACATTAGCTTACAGCCCGGAGAGATAAGAGACAACAACTGAATTGAGCACTGACCAACCTCTCGATTAGACACGGCAGAAATTCCTCCTGCCTCCCGGCTATTTACCCTCCGATTATTTGAACAGTTTTTATTGCCGGTTTAACGAGGCGTATACGTCATGTGCAGAGACACTTGGCCAACGGCCATCGACTCTCTACAATCTGGCACAATTTTTGGACAACTCGAAATGTTTGTTTAAAATACTTCAAATATGCCCAATAAACGTCCAATTGAATACGCAAATTGCCTTAAATGTTATTTGATTTTTGCCTAGTTGTTGTTTTTGTTTTCTTTTTTCGCTCGATACTTTCCTGTGTCTCTTTTTATAGAGGAAAAAATCATATAAATATTGACTGTGGTCACGTTTGCTTTGGCTTTGGCTCTCTGTTAAATGGGTCGTTAAACTTGCTGGACGCAGCGATTTTTTTCTGTTTTGTGCCGGGGCAGGGGCCAAAAATTCACATAAATTATAATAACGTTTCCAAAATTTCTGGCTACCGATTTCCCGATTGCATTTTTGTTGTTTATCTAGGGTATAAAGGCGACTTTGGGTCAGTGATGGATAGTACAGTAGATATAAGATAAAGTTTGGGCATTGTGAGCTGGCGTGTTGGCAAAAAATTAAAGCTTTTATAATTATTATATAAATAAATAAAATGGGCGGAAATGGTGTGTATTTGCCTACGAACGAAAATAGTCCGTTTATTGCTGACTATTTTGCTGGAAGTTTCCTAACGTATTTATTATTGAATAATATATTTATTATACATATTATTATGTCAAGTAAACAAATGAAAATTTTTTGTTAAACATGCGACTTGCAGATTGCTCCGATTATTAATAGACTCTTCTGTGTGCTTTCTGTTTGCAGACTTTGACAAAAACCTATTTTCTAGGGTATTTAGACAATCGTGCACGTGATTAGCATTAAATTGGGGTGTATTATTATTATTATTATTTTGTTATTTAGCTTGCCGCATAATTTATGTGCCATGCCTTTGTGTTTTGTTTTCGCATTCGCTTTCTGTTTCTGTTTTCGCGCTTTCTGGTTCTGACTTTATTTGGCCGGCAAAGTTTTTATGTTAACGTTCGCTTAAAGTTCTTGATTTTTATTTGGGCACATACTCAATTTGTCGCATTAAACGATTTGCCAAAAATTAAGCACAAAACGCTTTGTTTTGATTGTTTTTCCCTTAAAAACGTTGCACAATTGAACACTGTCCACAAGAAATATCAATTTAGTTGACTTGTCTGTAAATTGCAAACAGAAATATTTTTGGCATTAAAAAGCAGACCATCACACATATGCTCATATATGTGTATATATTTTCGTACTGTATTCATATTTCTACGCATATGCCGGGCCATATTTATATGACTTGCATTTACACTGGCAAATTTTTGTTTTATATTTTTGCTGTTGTTGTTGTTCTTATTGGTTTTATTTATGAAAACGCATAAATATTTATCTACGACTCGTGCAGCTCGAATGATGCCACAGACAAGCGAACGCCCACACATGCTACAAATGTCGATGGCTTTGTGTATTATACATTTTCAGATTACCATCAAAAAAACGAAAAAAAAGGCAACTTATGACAGTTTATTAAAATGAATTTCACACAAATTCAATCTGCATGTCATTTTACATTGTGCGACTCTAGAATGGAGACTGAAGGCCAAAGACCGCAGCCTTTACGGAAGGGTCAGCTTTCTCTGCTTTGCCCAGTTTAAATTTATCCCAACGTTGTGTTTTTCTAAATGTAATTTAAAAGGGACAGACTGTAGCGTATCTTGAGCATAATGCAATGCATGTGCTGTCCACAGACCCAGGTCTAAACAAAGCCACACAGCTTCACCCAGCTGGACCCGCACACTGTTTTTTATTTGCTTTTTGTGGGCGCAAGAAAGGGAAGGGAATATAATGGGGCTGCAATGCTTATGAATGGTCACGAATTGTTAACGACCCGCTGTTGCCCAAAACCCAGAGCAGAGGTCAACGTCACACACACCTTTAATGGAGCTCTTAAAATTGTTGAGCATGTGGAAAATAAAAAATAAATAAAAATAATTCCAGGGGGCACCCGGATTTGAACCGGGGACCTCTCGATCTGCAGTCGAATGCTCTACCCCTGAGCTATACCCCCATATAAAAAGCTCATAGTTAGAGCTGTTTTTGTTATGAAAGTCTAAGATAAATAAAATTTTAGCACAGCAGCAGCTCGAAGTGTTTGCTTATCAAATTTCTAAATTATCAGCTAGTTGTCTTTTACTAAATGTCGCAACATTTATAGTTTTAAATTTCAAAAGAAATTCCTTTAAAATGCCTATCACGTGGTAAAAGTTATCTCGACACTTGACAACACGCTCAGTTTCTTGTTAAATATGGCAAAGAGCACATGTTTCTCTCACCTAACTACAAAACAAACTCAAAGTTGATATATATATATATACACAACACAGGCAAAAACTTTGCTATTGACACCCAACTAGTTGGCAAGTTTTGGGGCAAAAGAGTTTCGACAGCCTTCAACATGGAAGGACAGGCAATTTTGGCAGCTTGAAGTACGCTGCTGAAATTTTTTTAAATAACTAAATACACAGTTGCATGTTAAATTACATGCAGAGCAAGAGTTTGGCATGGGCCACAATTAATATTTGAATTGTGCAAATTGCACACGCGCTGCAAACATTTTTTCGCTGTTAACTTCCGCAAAGTGCTCTTGTGGCTGGCATGGACCGGACAGCGGGTAGGGGGGAAGTGCCACCATGGCAGTTTTGTGCGCTTCCGTTGTTTCACAAAATGGCGCGAAGCAGACGTGCTGGCTGACCAGCGCTGCACCCGTATGTGTGTGTGTGTGTGTGCGTGTGAAAGTTGATGAGACACATGTTTCCTCATGTTTACCAGACGACCTTGCCCCAGCGCAGATGAGCCAAAAGCACACGCGCCAAATGCCACAAATTAAGCATCGGCTATAAATATAAATGTGCCAAGCGGCGCAACAGTTTTACATAATCGAAAGCAGCCACAGACAAACCAGCTGCAGCTCCACATCAAATCAGTTTAAAGCAAGTGTTCTTTTTCTTTATGCTTTATAAAATGGCTGCACTGCTGCCATGGCTGCTGCTCTCGCTGATAGCGGTCACCTGTGCCGCCTACAGTTCCTCGCTGGACGACTCCACGAGCAGCTCTAATGCGAACTCAATTGGCGGCAGCAAATGCGATAAGAATCCGCTGGGCGAACTCACCTTTCAGCTAAGCGGCAGCAATCTTCACTGGCCCTGTGATTCTACAAAGAACATTTATGTGCAATCCGGTCGCTATGTGCCCAGAAATGTGATCGTGACACGTGCGCAACTGCAGCGGGATTCGGCATTTGTGGCGCTGCCACGTTACAAGCAAGGTGTGCCCTTCACCCTGGGCAAGGTGAATCTGAAGAAGGGCGAGTGTTTGGCCAAAATAGCGCCATATCCCTGCTGGGCCATACAGGAGGAGGGCAACTGCCAAGCGCTGCAATCCGTTGTCGATGTGGCTGTCGATCAGAATGTGAGTGCCATTCAATTTGTTATACCTTTCAGGCCAACATGTGGCTCCAGTGAGAGCCGCATCGTTTTCAATACGCACACACACACAGATTAACAAGCCAATTTAGCCGGGAATTCAATTTTTTCTTTAAACCCGAAACTTGCCACGCAATTTTGTATGCATGCAAGCGCATGTGCATAAAAAATATACACTATGCGTTTTTTTCTTCTTTTAAATCCTGGCTACTTCAGCATAATGTTTTTTTAAATTAAATAAACAGAATGCATATGCCAAAAAATTTCCATTAAATGGAATTTTTTAGGAGACAACACAAAAAGCACAATCTGTGGATTGCCTCAGTTCAAGGTTTACAATTTTTATGAACAGCATAAAACAAGCCGATAATTGAACAGGTTCAAATTTTAATTGACATTTCAATTAACCATTTATCTTAATTTCTTATCAACACAAGCGCTTAACAAATTACAATTAGCTACTATCTTAAAGCTACAAAAGACCAAAAAATATTTAACATGTTTCCAAAACAAATGCACATAAAAATCCATTTATTTTTTATTGGAAATTTATTTTCTTGTGTTTTGTCGAGTTCATTTCCTTGATCTTTAATTTGTATCTCAAATTAAAATTTTTTTCAATTTATAAATTATTTCAATTGCATTTTCACATGTCAAATTGCCTTTAAGCCAAATGCAATTTCTGCATCGTATTTAAACAGAATTCATCCAGTAATAAAAACAATGAAATATACTGCATGTGAATACATATTGTACGTATATAATAACAATAACAACAATTGGCACGCGAATTTGTTTATTTGCATTTTAGCAATTTCACACAATTTATATGCATTGTTTTGAACTTTAAATAATTTGTTGTTGCTGCTTATTATTTTTGCTGATGCGCATAAAAAATAAATTGATTGTGCCAGAGAGCTAACACATAAATGTTTTGACTCATAAAAATACCAGTCATGTCTCAATTACAATTGATATATTTAAAATGTCATAAAATTAATGCTTTTTATGAATTACAGGGTTTGCTGTGGGCCTTGGATGTGGGCATTGTCAATACGCTGGAGCAGCCCATACGCCGTTGCAGCCCCAAAATTGTGGCCATTAATACGGCCAACAACAAGGTGGTGAAAAGCATCGATCTTAGCGATTTGGTGACCTCCGAAAGTCGTTTGCAGTTCATTGTCGTTGATTACTCCAAGGATAACAAGCCTTTCGTGTAAGTAAATTTAAACCCAATTAAACTAGGAAGCGCGGTACAACAAAGTTTAAGTACACAGAAATAAGCTACTATTGCTAAAACAAAATGACTTAAATAACATTAAGAAAGAGACCCCACTTGTATTCGTGAGAATTGCATAGAAGGGCATATTAATGCACATCTAACTTTCTCTCTTAGTCAATCGCTCTCACTCACAGCTCCTGTCTGTCTCTTAACAATAATATATTTTTAAACAATAGTAAGACTATGAAAACCACAGGGAAGGGCATTTGCGAAAGCAAGAGAGAACAAAATAATATAGTAATATGGGGCTGAGAGCTATTGCCCATGATTTAGAAGAATGCTAAAACTCGAAATTTCTGGAGAAGTACAAATCAGAAAAGTTTTCTTTACACAAACTCACATTTCGACTGGCTCCACCCATATTTGTAAATAGGTTGTATTACCTCCTTCAAGAAAGTGTCAAACAGAACCGAGCAGAAGACAAGTGAATCATGTTCGATTGTTCCGAAATTGCAATCTTATCAGTTTCTTGGTTTCTCAATAAGCGCATTTATTTTTTAATCGAATTGTTAGAATTTTAACAATTTCCAATTTAAATCTTTCTTCTCTTTCTTCCACTTGCAGCTATGTAGCAGATGCAGGAGCCCGTAGCATTCTTGTCTACGATATTACGGGTAACAAATCGTATCGCATTGTACTGCCCCGCGCCACGGCACCGAGCAATGATGTGCTCTATGTGGCCCTGACTGCCAAGCCAGATGGCACCTCGACGTTATTCTTCAGCTATCTGAGCTCGTCGCGTCTGTACTCGATAAAGGGCGAGTATTTGCGTGTGGGTCAGGGCGCCGGCTCCATCATAGATGTGGGACCCAAGCCTTACGGCAAGCAGGCGGTGCTGCTGGGCGCTGATGGTGGCACCTCGCTCTTCTTCCGCTACAAGGGCGAGAATGACATTTATCTGTGGGACTCGGAGACCTGCTTTAAGGCCTCCAATTTACAGGAAGTGCAACGCGGCGGCGATTGTCGCCTATCCACGCAGGTGCTGCCGGGACACAAGCGCTTCATGTGGGCGCTCGAGAGTAATTTCCATGATTTCATATCGGATCGCACTGGCTGCAATGGCGCCTCCATTGTGCTGCATCCAGTTGTGCGCGAATGCGATGATTGAGTCCCCAGAGTTTCTTTCGCTCTCTGGTTGAAGCCTTGCCTCATTTTATTAGTCATAAGTTTTGTTATTGTATAAATTAAAGATTCCTAAAGTTCAACATTGGCCCACAACACAAGTAAATTTGGACTCATCAAAGATCAAACCCTGGTCACAGTTGAGACGCTCCATAGTAGCACCCTTATTCTGGCAGTGATAAAAGCGATTGCAATCGGTCAAATCCGCCACCAATCCCCAACGCTGGCATTCGCCATTCGTGATCTCTGCATAATCGCTACCAGCTGGCGGCCGTCCGTGACGGCACATGAGAAAGTTGGCATCAAAGTAACTGCCCTCCGGACACTTTCCATCTTTCAGTGCTCCGTTCACGCAGTAGTAGTATGTGTATATTGTTTCCCCAGGATAGAGCATGCCATTGCGGCAGGCTGGCGAAACCGCAGCTAAAATCACCTGCAAGTGCAAGGTAACTACAGATACCAATAGCAGAAATAACAGGTTACGAGAATTCATTCTTGAGACTATGCCTGGCGACTGCTTTCAGCAGCAGCTTAAATACTGGAGGTTCCATATAAGTCCGGAAATGTTGGAGTATTAATTAAAAGATATGCACTTAGCTGGCTGGCATTAAAAAAAAACGAGAAAGAAAGGCTATCTCCGGCACGCCGAAGATCTAATACCCTTGCAGACCCAACCTTTTCATAATGCTTATAGTGCTTTGCCCGTATCTAAGAAGCACAGGGAAAATAGTTAATGCCGAGATATCTTGATAAACAAAATGTTTTTTCATACAACTTAATTTTCGACTGATCGTTCCTATGGCAGCTATATGATATAGTGGTCCGATCCATCTGGTTTTCACATATGTGCTGCGTACAACAGAAAGAGGGACTTCTGCAAAATTTCATTAAGATAGCTTTAAAACTGAGCGACTAGTTCGCATAGAAACAGACAGACGGACAGACGGGCAGGCGGACATGGCTCTATCGACTCGGCTGTTGATGATCAAGAATATATATACTTTATGGGGTCGCAGATGTTTCCTTCTATGCGTTACACATTTCACGACAAAATTATAATACACTCTGCAAGGGTATAAAAAACTCAGAAAAATACACGGCAAGAACTCTAATATATTATATGAAACTGGGAACGGTATATATATATATTGCAAAGCAGCTAGATACATTATCATGACTTTATTATTGGTTTTATAGCCCAAACTTTTATTTTTAATGTGATCAGAACAGGAGCATCAAGCCTAGGCGAGTTTGGGCATACATACGCCACCGGTTCCATCAAAGCTGGTGCCCTCGGGGCATGTGTAGTAGCTCAGTTCACCATTCAAGCAAAGCAGATATCCATGCTCAGTATCTGCGGCATAGAGCTGAAAGTTGTCACAGGTCTCCTCCTCCTTAATACATACGCTATCAGACAGATCGAAGTAATAGCCTACGGGGCATTTCTGATAGATAAGCGTACCGTCGAAACAGAAATTAAAGCCATATTTCGTTTCTGCGGGATAGGACATGCCCTCTTGACATATCTCCGACTCCTTAAGGCACGTTCTTGCGATAGCATCGAAGTTGTAGCCCACGGGACAGCTTTCATAGCTCAGATCTCCATTGATGCAGGAGAAGTAACCGTTGATCGTATTTGCCGGATAGAGAATACCTTCCTGGCAGACGGTCAACATCTGAGCTGGGGCAATTCTCTTCGTGTTCACGGGCCTAATGCAGCTGTGGCCATTGAAAGTGTAACCATCGCTGCATTTCATCATCAGCGGATAGAAGATGTCCTGGCCGCCCTGTTTATCCTTTTGACAGACATAGTAGTAGCTGCTGTTCGCGGCCCAGGCGCCTGTCTGACCCACATAGCTGCAGGAGTATTGCTTCTCCGTGCACTGCTCGCTCTCGCGGGGCATGCTGCAGCTGTGGGTGAGCAGGGAGTAGGCGGCACCGTTGGTGCATTGACGTGGCGTGTCCACGTTCTGTTCGTTGCAATCGTGATAGCTGCGGCAGTCGTAGGGATCTGGAAATATGCCTGGTAGCTGGCAGTAGAACTTGCCGCGCACGGGCACTTGACACTTTGGCTGCCAGGTGCAGCCAATTGTGCCCTCATCGCTGCAAAAGAAGCCGCGCTCCGTCTGACATTCGGTCATGGAGATTGTCTGCCATTGGCCATCCACATGCGAGCAGAAGCCCAGTGTGGAGCAGTCGACGCACACAAAGCCGGCCAGGCGCACTTCCTGGCAGGGATTAGTCACAAGCTCAGCAGAATCAATACCCAAGCTGCTGTTAACAATGCCAGCCTGGCAACGAACTAGACATCCCAGCAGAAGAAGCGGCAACAACTTAGGAAAACTCATTTTAAAGACTGTTGGCTGGGAGTGCTCCAAGCAGATGCTTAAATAGCTAAAGATAAGCATTCGCGGCAGGTGTAAAACGCATAATTAAAAGATAATGGTTGATGGTTCATTAAAGTCACAACAGTACAAAGATTGACAAAATTCACTTAAATACTATTTGAAATTTAGCATGTGCCCAGTACACAGGCAGATTGCTCCGGTCGGTAAAAGGTGCCAGAGGGACACTCCAAGTGGCGCATCTCTCCGTTCACTGCGGAGCAATAGTAATACTTATGGCAATCGTTCATATCGGCTATGAGACCCACATGTTCGCAGGCGATCGGCAATACGGTGAAGCCATCATCATTGGGGTCCACAATCTCTGGCTGAGTGGTTGGCACCACAGGCAAGTTGTTTCCAGGACGACACACGAAGTCCGCAAAGATCTCGCCATCGTTGCAGCGATGCAGCGAGGGGTAAATGACCACAGTATCGTTTAGATTTTGGTTAACCGTCGACTTGCACACGTAAAAGATATTGGGATTACTGGGCCAGGCGGCGACATATCCCACCTTGGGACAATGGTACTGCGGTAGGGTGCACACGCTGCTCTGCAGCGTCATCGAGCATTGACCGGTTCGGGCATCGAAGGCCTTGTCATTGCCACAGTCGACGGCGGCAGCGACGAGGGTGGCGCCGACAAAATAGCACATATGATATTTCTGGCAATCATACGGATCTGGAAATATGCCCTGGGAGGTGCACTGAAAGTTGCCGACAATACCAAATGGATGGCAGGGGCCAGTGGCATTCGAGCACGTGCCCAGTCGCATATTACAAAAATACCCATTGGCCACATCACACGATTCAACGGGTATATTAACCCAGCCATTGGAATGTTGTACACAGGTGGCCAGCAGTTCGCATGACTCGCATATAGGTCCAGGTGTCTGACGGCCCTCACAATTGCTTGTTTCTCTGGGCTGGATGATGCGCGTGGTGACTGTGGCAGCAGTCAACAAATTGATGACGTTGAGCAGAAGCTGTTCACCGCAAATGGAATGAAAAAATATTTGGAGAAAAATCGATACAAATAAATCAGTTCAAACAACTTACCAAGCTAAAATGCAGCTTACGGAAGGACATGTTGATTGTGTAAAGATCAATATAAATTTGGGCACGTCTAATTGCTGCCAGCTGCTAAAATTGTCTGATTTGATAGCGTAGCTGGGAACTACAAAAACAGTTTGACTCACAACCCAAATATAGCAGACGTACAAAGGTAAAGATATCTTCTGCTCTGGCACTGGGCCGGGTGCCAGTCTTTATATCAATACGAACGTTCTGTCTGCAAGTGTGTGTGTGTGTGTGTGTGTAAATATGTGTGTCTAACATCTTGCGAAAGTTAAAAGTTGGGCAAAGTGAAAATCGTAACCATTACAACGGCCAGAGATTACAAACGAATGGAATGCTGCGCTGTTGAGCAAATGGGTTCATATTTACACAGAAAACATTCTGGCAAAATCTAAGCTTAGAAATGGCCTTGTGTATTTTATGCCAATAGCAGTTTCTAGTTTCACAAGACAAACATGAAGCACTTAAGTTGTATGCGCACTTTAGAAAAATTAAATATTTACATATAGAGGGTATTAATTGTTTTGAATTGCAACTGTCATTCAAAATATTAGAAACGAGCGCGTAATTCATCAATAGTATCAAAAAATGTGGCGTTTTTATCGACGCCGATTACAAATACTAGTTTTTTGGTATTTTTCTGAACGAAAATAGAATTTCAATTGAAATCTAGCATTTTCTAGTCGTGCTGTGCACAGGCACACCGACACATAACTCGCTCTAAACTGCTTCAATATTATCTTTAGAATTTCTAATGGATTTCGTACACGAATCTGTAGCCCTTGGCGTCGATTTACTCATCCTCGGCCTCTGTGTACGCGAATATGTGAACTACAAGACCACCGCGAAAGTTTTGAGGGTAAGCATGCAAGTTGCATTGCATGCATAGTCCTAATCAGCAATTCCCGTTACTTGCAGGAGGCGCCACAGTACAATATTGATGGTGATCTCAAGAACATTGTATCCCGGCAGCAGGATAAGAAGATACCGTATGCCGTAATACGCGGCACAGTCACGCCCATTGGCGTCCCATTGCGCAGCTCGTTTGTGCCCAGCGTGAGCGGGGTGCTCCAGATTGTGAAACTCCATGAGCATCGCGTGATGCGCGCATTTGCCGGCTTCTGGGCCGAGCAGCGTAAAATGTTGCACGAGAGTATCAACGAGATGCCCTTTGAGCTGACCAATCAGCAGCATGGCGTGGAAATTATAGATGCGATGAGTGCCGCTGTGCTGGATGTGGACGTTGTCTACGATAACTATGAATCCACATCGCTGTCGTTCTTCGATCACATATTTGGCTTCTTTACGGGAGTGCGGCAGAAGGGCCTGCAGACAACGGAACAAGTGCTGCGCGATGGTAGCTTCTTGACGGCCATTGGAGAGCTGGAAATGGACGGACAAACGCTGCGCATGCAGCCATCTAAACAAGGACCACTGTTCCTTACCACCGCCACAAAATCGACGCTTATTAAACGCTTTGAGGATGCCAAGTCCTCTATGCTGTAAGCCAAGGGATGACCGCTTTAAAGGCTTCTCTAATAATGTATGTATTCCATTCAAGCTTCAAAATTGTGCTGTGCAGCAGCATTTCCATGGTGCTGGTTGGCCTGATCGTACGCAAAATGTATCGCAAAAAGAAACAAGAACGCGAAGAAGCTAAGATCCGTAAGCGCCTAGAGCTGGAGCGCCGGGAACGTCGTGCACGCAATAGGCCACACACCCTGACGCAAGACCAGCTATGTGTTGTGTGCTCCACCAATCCCAAAGAGGTTAGCTAGTGAATCAGTGCAGTGCGTCTCGCTAACCTGTGCTTATTTTTTTCAGATCATCTTATTGCCCTGCGGGCATGTTTGCCTGTGTGAGGATTGTGCCCAAAAAATTGACATTACCTGCCCTGTTTGCCGCAGCAAAATTGACTCCAAGGCGGCTGCTTTTATTGCCTAGTTGTGGATCTCAGTCAAGATAGATCAACTGTACCTGTCTCACCACAAGTCTTTGTTACCGAGTGTGCAGTTTTACATATTCATAAAATTCGTTTCAAGTGTTGACCATTTAAAAGTTTTGTGTGGAATTTATGCACTGTTTGCCTGCATAATGTCTCTATACTCCCGCTGATGATCCAATAGCTTTAGAAAGACTTTGTACTTTCGATTATGCAGTTCCACTGTGTTGGCGTTTGGCATCAACAGTTGCCCAGTGCCGCCCATGGCCTTCGAGGCGCTCTATTAACGAGTTACAATTGAGATAATTATAGTTGGGCGATTGTTCTGTACACACCTCTAGGCTGTCATAGTGTCCGGCGGCAGCGGCGCCCAAGGCGGCCGCCCCCACCAATACCATTTCCTGTTCATCAGGAATCAAAGCAGGCAGATTGCAAATATCCGCATGGCATTGCACATAGAGTGGATTCTTGGCCAGGCCACCGCAAAAGAGTAGCGTCTGAAAAGCGGCGCGCTTATGCTGGTAAAGATTCTCGATGATGTGACGTGTGCCATACTTAAAATAGTCTATTATAAATACACAAATGAAATCGCACAGCGTTTAGATCTACTTACAGCTAGAGCCTGCACAAAGGCCAAATATTTGATAGCCAGCGAATCGACACCTCGAGTCATGTCTAGGCCAGTGATCTGTTTGGATAAAGAGCTGTCTTTATAAATATAGTCAAGCTTTGTAGACTTACTATGCCGCGCAGCGTAGGATCTGCTACGGGAGAGCGATTGCCATGTAGATCCGGCCACACATGCACATCCTGCGTCAGGCAGCTCAGCTCGCTCAGGCCACGTTTGACGGCCAGTTCCGGCAGCAACTTGTTCAGATGCTGGTAAATGTATCTAAAAGAATAAATATATGTGTACCAAGAAATTGAATAAATTTATTTGAATCTATTAACTTGTCCCCGCCTAGCTTCTCCTTCAGCTCAGGATAGCTTTCATGCGTTTTGAGCACATGATCAAGCAGATGGCCGGCAATCGATTGACCGCCCTCGTTCAAGAAGTAACCCGGTATGATGGCATCTTGGTACGGACCCCATACACCCTGGGCAAAGCAGGCATCGCGTGTAATGCTCATATGGCAAGTGGATGTGCCTGCAATTAAAGCCATTTTGCCCTGCACGTCGTCGTCTCCTTCATCGGGACGGCACCCAAACATGCCCAGTGCACCGGCGTGTGCATCAATCAGCGATGTGCTGACCACGGTGCCCACGGCCAGGCCCAACTCTGAGGCGGCTCGCTGAGATAAGCCTTTGCCCACAGGCTTACCCGGCGGCTGCACATCGCTGCCAAGTGCCGCGAACTTGTCACGCGTCAGCTCCTCCAGATCGGCGCCGCGTAGAAAGTCAGCGCTCCAGTTGTGGGAGGCTGCATCATAGTTCCATTTACACACCACCGAGCAAAGCGAGCGAGTGTCCGTATCTGTTGCACGCCAGGTCAGAAAGTCCGGCAAATCGAATGCCCGCCAAATACTTCTATATGTCTGCGGCAAATTACGCTTCAGCCACAGCAATTTGGGTATCTCCATTTCCAGCGAAACCTGACCGCCCACGTATTTCAAGAGCGCATGCTTGGCAGCATTTATCTCGTCCGTCTCCAGCTCAGCGCGATGATCCATCCATAGAATGATATTTTGTTCGGCCGCGCCGCTCTTGCTCACCGTCAGGGGTGCTCCATTAGCACCCAATATGACCAGGGAGCAGGTTGCATCGAACCCAATGCCCTTCACTTGCGTCTTATTGACACCGGAAATGACATGCTGCAAATAAACGGCAAAGCTGGGTTAATCTAATCTCTAAAGGCTTTGGAGGTTATCAGTAGATGTCTAAGTTGTACGCCAATTTTACCTTGACAACCTTACAGATTGCATACCAAATATCTTCACTCGATTGCTCGTAGAAGTGCGGCTCTGGTGTCCAGGTTTTGATCGCCTCTACTGCTTGCTGCTCCACTTGGCCTTTGGCATTAACTAGCGCTGCCCTCGCACTGCCCGTGCCCACGTCCACGCCCACAAAGTACGCCTGCTCGGACATAGTGCTGTTGGCGCCTGCTCTGCTGCTATAGTAATTTGTATTGCCTGCGCAATTTGCGGTCAAATAAATGTTATTAAACCAAGCCCGACGAACGCCCAACGCTGACTGATAAGAAACTCGAGCTGCCTGTGGAAACGTGGGGCTTGTACCGCTACCGGTTTGTGAAAGACCTCTCGCAAATTGTGTTGAATAATTTAGTTGTATTGTGCCTGGGACTGAGGCGGAGGCTTGGCCTGGCTGACGCCCACCTATGTTATTGAAAGATAAAAGCAGTAGCTGCCTGTGCCAGCCATTTGGTAATTTTATCAAAGTTAAATTAAACATATTCATTAGTCTTGAAATTATACCAACTACTAATTTAGCTTGAATTTGAAAGCACAACTGATCAATTTGACAAAATCATTTACTAATTAATAACTGTTTTATAAGCATTACGCTGACTTACTTGAACTTCCTGCAGCTACGGCCGTCGCTCGCATACTGAAGTCTCGTTCTCGAATGCAGCTTATATATTCAAATATTCAAATTGTAAACAGTCCGCGCGCATTCGCCCCCTCTCTCTCTCTCTTTCTCTCTCCCACTCAATACCTTTCTCACTTGTTATTGCTCTGTGTCATCTACCAATTGCAGCAGCTGCTCTCGTTATTCAAGGTCAGTTGGTTTTCACGATCAACACGTTTTGTTAGTTCTCACGTTTAGTCCATCACAAATGTGAGCTCAGGCTTTTTAACAGTCTGGCAACTCTGCGCCGCATCTCATGTCTATCGCGGCGTTTGTTTACAATGGTGCGCATTAAAAATCGGTAAGTTGATTAAATAAATGATATTATTTATGACACACACCTTTATTACGATTCATCCTTGTCGCTTATCAGTTATATAGCCGTGCAAGTTGTACCATATGCGCCTGTTAAGAGCCTGCGCCTCAACGACCATACGCTGACCAAATGCCTGCTGCAAAATATAGAGAAATACTACGGTGTGTACGGGCTGGGCGTCTTGGAGCACGGTTTCCGTGTGAAATACTGCAATGAGCGCACTAAAATTGCAATTATACGCTGCCTACATCGCGGACAACGATATGTGTCAAGCATATTGCCGCTGATAACGTTGGTAATTACGTTAGATATGTAGCACGTGCGCGGCATTTAACTATACGTACAAATTAATATATATATTGCAGATAGGCGACGTGCGCGCCAAATTCCGCACTCTTTACACGGGCGCCACCATCATACAATGCAATAAGTTTATAATTAAACATCAGCGACAGTTCTTGGACCGCATGATGGGCCAAGTGGCATCGGCCAAGGAGCGCCAGGATCTGTTCAAGCGCGTCATGGAGCTCGACATGGACAGATAACATGGAGGTTAAGCAAAATGATTTATGTATACTTAAGCATAGTGCATAGTTTTCTTATAGAATATTGTTGTTCCAATTCGACTAAAAGTTAAATTTAAGGTTTTTTTGGTACACTCGATGCTTATACTTCAATAAGGAATTTGCGACTCGGCGAACGAGATAGTCTCGCACTGAATTGCTTGAGCCTGTGCTGCAAATCCGTGAAGGTCAGTTTGTTCTTCTTGCTGTAGACATTCAGATAAATACCCAGCACAACGATGAGGCCGGACCAGATGTATCTGTTAAGAGAAAACTTGATTTTTACGGGAGACCAAGAGATTACCAAGGCATCTACTTACTGCACTGTGAAGGGTTTGCTGAAGAGCAGGAACGAGAAGGCTATGGTCACAGCCTTGCGTGCGGTGGTCACTGTTGCGGCTAAGGGAGCGCCGCTGCTCCTAACTAAAGCCAGCACGAATTGTATTCCCAAGTAGCCTGAGAGACTAAACAGAAAGCCGTAGCCAAACGTTTCCAACGGATGCACCAGACAGAAGGCGAATCCACTGAAAAAGTTGCCGGTAAGCAACATAATCACAAACAAATAGACAAAGCCCAGTCCATAGGAATAGAAGACCACCTCGCTGCTGGGCGCTTTATGCTCGCGCATAGCCTTCTCTTGGACGTTGCCGATGGCTGCATCACACAACAGGGCGCCGGATATCATGGCGACGCCCAGGGGATTAAAATTTGGTGTTAGCTGCGAATCGGCCAGTGTGAACCAGGCCAAGCCAATGCACATTGCCGTTGCGGCAGCAAAGTCAAGTGGTCCGTAGCGCTTGCCCTGTATAATGATGCTGCCAACCAGCACTGGGATCAGCTTGCAGCACTTGAAGATCACCTGAGTGGGGTAGTTGAGATAGCCGAGACTCGAGTTTGACAGTCCCATTGTGCCCAGCGTCAATGCAGCAAGCACAAAATATGTGCGCAGAGGAATGCATCGTGGTGCCGGCTCAAGGCTCCAAAGTGTTCCGCCTTGCGTCCGATAGGACTCCAAACGACGCTCTACCAATCCGAAACCGATGTAGTAGCCAAACTGCACCAGCGTGAGAAACCAGCCGTATGGCTTAAAGCCCTCAACCGTAAAGATCAGCTCTTGCAGATATCCATAAATAATATAGAGTATGAAAACGCCGGCACAACTGAGCAAAAATTGCGTTGTTCGATTGTAGTGGCTCAGGTCAAAGCAGAGAATGCGCACTTCTGCCGGTGGTGACTTTGACGCGGATGATGTTTTACGCTGAGAGGTGGGAGGGGAGGCGAAAGCGGAAGCCGCCGTCTGCTGCTGGCCATTGCCAGTGCCGTTGATGCTGATAACGTCGTGTCCGTTGCCTGCTTGGCTATCGCCCACCATTGTTCGAGTGGTCGGTCACACTGTATGAGTGTGTGTGTGCGTGTGTTTTTATCACAGTTTCGGTGTGTATTATTTTAATTACTGCCACGCAAAGCTAACGTTTTTACGCATTCACGTTTGCATTGGTGCATAGTTCTGATTATGCATTTCTCTTTGTTACATCATCACCATAATGTAACGCGGCTTTTAGTAACAACTTTTGTTTTTTAATAGTGTTAGCTACGCGTTTGTTTATTCTGATGTTTGTGGCCACTCGATAAATGCAGTTTTCGATCATTTAAACTCGATATATTATTAGTGTGTAGTGCTGCCAGACCGGGTAAATTTCCCAAAATGCACCAATATCAAAAATTATGGTCACCCGAACTTCTAATATTGGTCACACATTAATGTTGCCAGCCAGTTGTTTTCCATTAACTATCTGGCCATACTACATACTCTTAAAAACATCATTTCGTCATTTAGCAGCTCTCGCTTTTTGTTTCATTTTAAAAATGGCAGACGTAGAAAAGGAGCCTGAGAAGACCATTGCTGAGGATTTGGTTGTTACCAAATACAAATTGGCTGGAGAAATTGCAAATAGTAAGTAAATAATTGAATGTAATTAAGAAATGCGTTGCAGAGTGAAAGTGAAGTCAAATTTTTTCTGCATTTACTGTCGGCCGCTACGTGTAGCCGACAACAATGGAGCTAACGAAGACGTCGGCGCTGACGCTGACGTCGCCGTTGCTTGAAGTAGCCACGCGGCGGTGTTCGCGGGATATGCGAGAGCATAGCGTGCATAACCTCAAATTTTTCAGGTGTTGAATTCAATGCCTAAATACAAACTTAAGACAATAAAGGTTGCGATTATAGCTTTTAGAGCTTCAGTTTAATAAAAACCTGAAATGCCTACACGAAATTGCAATGCTAATATGAGACTCACAGTGCCACGCGAGACATACAAAAACTCGTTTTGCATAGAACTAACTCGACTATTTCTGTTTCGATGTGTTTAATTTTAGAAACACTGAAAACGGTTATTGGACTCTGTGTGCCGGATGCCTCTGTGAGGGAAATTTGCACCAAGGGCGATAATCTGCTGACTGAAGAAACCGGCAAAGTAAGTTCCAACTTAATATTTGCACCAACGAACACAAGCGAAATAAGTCCAATGATTAAAACTAACGCAATTGAGGGCCTCTGCGTGCGCTACTGCGCTGCGGGCCGGCAGCATGTGTGCGCTGTAAAAGGCCGCGTGCTTCCTGCGTGCGTTGAATTTTCATCCACGTGCGTTTTTGGCGCTGGCCTGCGGCGCTTGGCGCGCGTGCTCTGGGGCCCAAAGATTCACAGATTATGAGATCTGAGGACGCTTTGGCATCCAGCCAAATGTCATTGTTTCTATTATAAATCGATTAACACACTGCCTTCATGTACCCTATCCTAGGTATACAAAAAGGAAAAGGAACTGAAGAAAGGTATCGCATTTCCGACATGTCTGTCGGTCAACAATTGTGTCTGTCACTTTTCGCCAGCTAAGAACGATGCCGACTACACGCTAAAGGCTGGTGATGTGGTTAAAATGTAAGTATTATTCACTCACCTGCCACATTCCGCTTTTATTTATTTACCCTGTTTCCTAACAGCGATCTGGGTGCCCACATCGATGGCTTCATTGCTGTGGCTGCGCACACAATTGTCGTGGGCGCCGGCGCGGATCAGAAAATAAGCGGCCGCCAAGCTGATGTTATACTGGCCGCGTACTGGTCCGTTCAGGCTGCACTGCGTCTGCTCAAGTCCGGCTCCAGCGTAAGTGTTACCGCCTATTTATAAGATTAGGAGGGGGTGCAGGCAACGGATTGTCTAGCGTATAATGCACAGCGCCAGCACATGTCAACACCTGCACAAAGCACAGGCGACAATTGGCGAAAGCACAGTCATAATATTCATGGCTGGGTCTCTGTTGATTGCCCACATATGCATGTATACATATTTATAGATAGATATAGTTCTAGTAATCCTTATACTGCAGGCAACGGAATGGCTGTTGACCTTCAATTTTAACTGGCACAGCACAGCTCAACGTCTGCATAGATCAATTGCGGCAATTTCGTGAACTGAACGAGTTTATACATAGAAATGTTTGGTCTTTACAATTGCACACAATTATAGAAAATCATACATAGTAGACTATGTATAGGGCTTATATTCAAATGTAAAATGCCTTTATTGTTCGCCTTTCTTTCAGAATTACTCAATCACCGATGCCGTGCAACAAATCAGCGAGTCGTACAAGTGTAAGCCCATTGAGGGCATGCTTAGTCACGAGCTGAAGCAGTTCAAAATCGATGGCGAAAAGACGATCATACAGAATCCGAGCGAGGCACAGCGTAAGGAGCACGAGAAGTGCTCCTTCGAGACGCACGAGGTTTATGCCATCGATGTTATTGTCAGCAGCGGCGAAGGCGTGGTAAGCAGTAGGTCTCTAGGGGACACTAACTTTATCACCAAACATTTGTTCGATGATTAAAAACACGCGCTTGAGGATTGGCATGGCAAGGAGATGGAGTTATTCATGTAAGCGCCTTGTGTGTTTGGCGAGTATCTATTTTAACAGCTCGGCACATGTTAGCTTCAGATCTGCGCCATAGCTGGCCCGAAGATTGCAAGATTATGAGATCTGAGAACGCATCGAAAACCATCGAAACATGTTGATTCGCTGACTTCGCAGCACTGTTAACATTTGTGTTTTTTGCAGGGTCGCGAGAAGGACACAAAGGTCTCCATTTACAAGAAGTCCGATGAGAACTACATGCTTAAGCTAAAGGCATCGCGTGCGCTGCTCGCTGAGGTGAAAACCAAGTACGGCAACATGCCCTTCAACATCCGCAGCTTCGAGGAGGAGACCAAGGCGCGCATGGGCGTCGTTGAATGCGTTTCACACAAGATGATTGAGCCCTTCCAAGTACTGTACGAGAAGCCTTGTAAGTCGCCACTTATTGATATGATGTTAGTTTTGCAAAACCTAATTCCGGATTTGGTATAACTCTTAAGCTGCCAACTACGGCCAGACATTTTGCTAGAACAAAGCTCAAAAGGCTTTGGCGTCTTCAGCAGTTGCCTCCTTATACATGGGCCTCAGTCTGAACATGCCATTGCTACAAAAGCATCTGAACCAATTTGTCCAAATGGGAGCCTATAATTTGTATAATTGTTTACTTGCAGCTGAGATTGTGGCACAGTTCAAACACACGGTATTGCTCATGCCGAACGGCGTCAATTTAGTAACCGGTATACCCTTCAATGTGGACAGCTATGTGAGCGAATACAGCATTGCGCAACCCGAACTGAAGGTAAATCGTAATTTCTGGTGATCTAACCTGACAATCTTATCTGTGGATTTTATTTTGTTGTTCAGGAACTGGTCGCACAGCCACTGGGACCTGTTAAGGGCAAGGGCAAAGGCAAGAAGGCGGCTGCCGGCAATTCTGCTGCGGCGACAAAAGTGGAATCGGCGCCGGCCGTTGAGACCAAGGCATAGGCCTCCCGGATACCATACAAAAAACGCCCCCTTAAAGCAACAAGAATGTGAACAATTGCGCTGCCCACTGCTGCCGCTCTATAAATTTTTACTATAGAATTCGTTGATTAGTAAACCAGAAAATCCATTTGACAACACAATTCGTTTTCGTTCCAAGAACTTTAAATTTCCCATTCTAAGATTAAACAAAAACAAAAAAAAATAACCACTTGAAAGCCTTTCGAGTTTTTCCAACAGTTAAACCTGTAAAATTCTATGTGCAGTCAACTCTACATATTTCTTCCCTCCTTATAAAAACGTACTGATCTTTCGTTTTGAATTTCAAAATCGATTTGTTCTAAATCGCAACGAAACGAGAAGTTTTAAGAATTAAAACATTTTTAAAGTAAACATGATCTTTAAAATACTTATAATTCAAAAAACAAAAACGTTACAAATCCACGCGTAGTAGGAATTAAATAAAATTAACATTTTATAAAAAAAAAGGATAAGTAAAACTGAGTTTTCTTGGACTGTGGTTGGACATGTCATCAAATTGTTTCATATATCACTTATGTATAAGAGAAGAAAAGTTAATAAAAAAGTGAACTATGATTATTTCCAATACAAATAATTTTTCTTTTATTTTTACGTTTTATGTAATTAAGTTATGTTCACAATCTTTTTGCATTTTTTTGTTTTAATTTCTTGCATGTAATTAAAATTGTACACAGTCTCATGTCTGAACTCTTGTATTACAAAAGCAGCAAGAATAATTTTTGTTATCGTTACTGGTTACTAGGACACCCATCCCCACACACTTCCCCAAATAGCCCCGTCTGTCTACGTCCCATTTCGACACGCCAAACGAATTGTGCCAACAAAATTAAACAACAAAACTAATTACATATTAAATTGTGAATTATGAGAGCGAGCAGCGTGCAGCACACGAATAAAATGTGCAAACAAAACGGACAGAGGACTCGTACATTTGAATCAATTGCGTTTGGTTAGGTTAGTTGAAATACATATTGTATGTATTTGCGGGTCCGATTATGCAGCAAGCGAGTCTACAGCCAGCAAGGGAACGGGAAGAGGGTACAACGACAACGTTTTTGCTGGTGCCGTTTGGGCCATTAGTTCTCGGCATGTGCGTCTATGGGCGCCGAGGCAGTTACATTGCTTGGTTTCTCTGGCGAGTCCAAGTAGATCTTTAGGGCTCGTTCGCGCCGCTGCGAGTAACGCGTCGTTGAAATGCAGCCCAATCGATCCAGGCGCGCCTTCTCCTTATTGGTTAACGAGCGGCGCTCATCTGACGAGAGCTCTCGCACCGGCACGCTTTTATCTCTGCAATAAACCATAAGCTTAGTGTCATACACAAAAGAGCATAATGACCTGCCTCCAACTCACTTATACAAATACATGTTGCCACTATTAGTTGTATTTAATGGATACACGTCCAGCGCCGCGGGCACAGAGAGCCAGTTGACGGCCTCGTTAACACTAACTGCCGATATGCTTGTGCAGGGAAAGTAGCTGTTTAGCTGTGAGCAAAGTAACAGAGTGTAAGAAGATCTTATATAAACTTATATAAAGATGAGGCATTTCCTACCTTCATATAACTCAAGCGATCAATAGGTATATTGCATATTTGTGATAAACATCTTTTGATTTCGCCGTCCTCTGCAAGAAGTGAGATTAAAAACCAAGCTTTAACAATTTACCAATTTCAATCAGCTTACTGTCCATTGTGATTTCCTGGAATTTGCCAAACTCCCATTTATCCGGATACCAGCGACGCACGAATATGGTTAACGAATCTTCCTTGGGCTGCGCCACCACGCCCTCCTCACACTCTTGCACAATGAACTGTGGCCAAAACATGAACATGAATTAGATTTATAAACATCGACACATGTAAATAGTTTCGTGCTCACCTCGGCAGCCGTGGAGCGAATGTCGCAGTACAGTGTATCCTCGTTAGCGAGTATTTTAGTGGGACAGCGGCCGCCTTTTAGCCAGATGCGACAATTGTCCACGGTGAGGGAGCTGTATTTGGCATCGATGCGATGCAGCTTGGCGACCAGATCCTGTTTGGCCTGCTCCGCTGTAGTGGTGGCATTATACACCCACTCACAGACGCAGGGCAGCTTGGCGGTCTCATTGTTCAAATCCGCCAACCGCAAAAAGTATATCTTAGACTTGAACTCGTACGGTTGCAGTGTTTTACCGATCTCCACGGTCAGAGTTTCGCCTTCATTGAGAAAGACCAGCGTATTGGTCTGGTTATTGGATATGGTGCTCTCATGCTTGCGCTGCAGCTTAAAATAGGCGCTGGGAACGCGTATCAACTGCTCGATGTGCCGCTTAAAGGTACCCATACGCATATGCTTGCCTACAAGAAGCTTATAAGCGTGTGTGGGCTTACGCAGTTGCGCTTCGTCATCGGATTGGTGGCCACTGGTGGTGCTGCTACTGGTGGCCAGATCCACGCAATCAATTTTGATGGCATGGAAAAATTGTGTTGTTGTGCTAGGTGGCAGGGAGCTGGTGTCGCCCGCCTCGCTGCCATAGCTGCCGTTGCCATTGCAGTAAGCGTGAACGCGCATCATGGCGTCATGTGAGGCGGCCTCATCCTCAGGACTGGACAGCTGTGGTGAGTGGCTGGTGGAGCTTACCTGACTATCGCCGCCGCCACGATGCTGCATACTACTCTCAACCAGCGTACGATCACCATCACTCAGGCTACTATCCTCCGAGTTGGACTCATGGCCGGGTGTCGTAAGCGAATCAGCCTGATCGCGCTTATAGCGACGCCAATCACAGTCGTTGTTGCCGGCGCTGACACCCTCGGGAGTAGCCGTGCCGTTTGTGCCGTTAATGCCATTCATCATGGCAGCATCCACTACATCACCACCGGCGCAGCCATTGGCGGGCTGCAAAGGGGAGAAGAGTTACTTGAACTTTGACAAATTGATACAATACTTGCATTTGTAAATAAAACAATTTACTATTGGGCACAATTTGATGTGAACTAGACGTTAAAGGGTTAAGGTACCTACCTCGACGGGAGCTGCAATGGGCTCGCTGCTGGGCACGCCCAACATCTCGAGACTGGTGGCATCGGTGTTAGGCACGTTTAAGTAAAAGTATGTGATATATTTGAATTGTGAGTTAGCCAGTTGCTGAAGATGTTGCTGTGCCTCCGACGTCGGTTGGGGATCGTACGCCACGAAGGCCATGCGGTAAGTGCCACGCACGGCGGCCAGCAGAAATTGCTGCTCGTTAATGTGCAAACGTACTGCAATTGAATGGCGCAGCACGTCGCTAGACTCCCGCGCTGCTGAATAAACCAGGAAGGGACCGTCCATCGCCATGGTCGAGAGATCTACCTTAAACACATACCACGTAGTGCCATCGCTGGCATAGTTTTCAAACTGCTGATCCTCAGCCCGGTACTCCAGCAAAAAGTCCAGATTGTAGTTATGTGAGGAACGCAGCTCGGTTAGTGCCGGGTCAGTGCAATTCTCCAGCGACTGTATGATAGTGTCCATGGATGAGTTGTAGGCAACTAGACGGCAGCGTGACAGCGGCGCGAACTGCTCCACATTGAGCATATCGTAGGCAGACATCAGCACTTTATTCACATCGAAACTCTGCGACAGATACACGCGGGTCATCTTGAGCTTCTTGAGCAACGGATTATAAAAGTAGACGCGCGGCTTGTATAGATGCGGCAGTGCCAGATCTGTTACTGTGATGTGTCTACCCAGGCGCGAAACGCGCGTATCTTCCTCCGCATGCAGCTTGGGAAGCAGCGACTTGATGTGTTCCGGAAAGTCTTTACATTTGACCACAAGCTCGTTACGCTTGGCGTCCACCTGGCGATACATGAGCATATACGCATTCGTGCTGGACGTATAAGCACTTGAATAGTAGCTGCCATTTGGCCCGCCAAATGAACGCTGGATGTCCTCTTGTGTGATCTGAAAAGTGTGAGGAGAAGATGGACATATAATATATGTTGACACTAGCCAATCTTTGGCTACTCACCGTTGACACATTTTGATCATTGAAGCAGAACCATTCGTCATTATCAAAATCCTTTATGTAAGCATAGTAATGACCGCCTGAAGCGCTGCCCGAGTGTATCATGATAGCAAAGAGGTCATAGATATATGGACCCGATAGCAACTCCTGTTTGAGTCGTGCCTCCATGTTCGCGCTCTTGCCGGTGCTGCTGCTCATGTCGATGCCTTCGTCCTCGTCATTCATATCGTTCTCATGTTGACTGGAACTGGCCGTTGTTCCCACACCGCTGCTCAAGTTATCCTCCTCCATGGCCGAGCCACTGTCCGCGGTGCTGCAATCGTCTGCATTGCTGCTGCCATTCATTTGATACTGTTCGCCCTGGCCGCTGCGATTCACAAAGCTGTTCAGATTCAGCTTCTGCGGGAAGGTCACCCTATAAAATGCAGAAAAATATTAGTAGAAGACTAAGAGTTAAGGATTTAACGCTTGCCTGTCATTCAGCTTGATGCGATGCATGGTCTGATAGTCAAAGTCGAAGCGCTTTAGATGCAGCGTCAGTATATAGGGGAAGGACTTAAAGTGCAGTCCCTTGTGGGCGTCGCATTTCTTTTTGCATTTCTCGCATAGATACTGATTGTTGCCATCGAGAGTTTCGGGCTGAACAAAGGCGCGCAGTGCCTCCTCGATGCTACCGTAAGCGGAACTACTGCCAAATGGACGCACCGGTAGCGGTATGTCAAGGAAGGTATCCTCGCGCGTCTTTTCGGTATTGCACTCCAAGCACTTGACATAATCATTCATTTTGCCCTCGTACAGCGTCGAGATGAGATTGGCCTGTTTTGTGTTCTTGAACTTGTGCTCCAGTGCATCGAACATGACGCGGCACAGCTCTTGGATGTCATGCTGTTGCCAGGCCTCCGTGGAGTCCCAGCCAAAGCTGCGCGTCAAGTCAGTTGTCTCCACCGATGATTTCGGCGATGTCTGCAAATTGAGAAACAGCTTCTGCAACTGGTAGGGTATGTTCTTGGCCTCGTTGTCGTTGTCAAACTCCCAGCGGTACAAGGCATTGCGAAACTCGGGCGTCATATAAAGCGCTTGCAGCAGACTGTTTAGGTAGCAGGTCATTGCC